TTCAGAGAGAGGAAAGGAGGGGGAGAGAGACAGAAACATCAATGATGAGAGAGTCATTGATCGGCTGCCTAGCCCACAACCCGGGCACGTGCCCCGACCGGGAACTGAACCCCGATCTCCTGGATCCTGGGTCGACCCTCAATCGCTGAGCCACGCCCAGCTGGGCCTTTTCCTAGTTCTTGTTTTTGCTAGGATCAAAGAAAAAATTCTAAGAACTGTCTGAGTTTATATTATGGAATGTCTGTCTATCGGACCATAGAGGACAGCTGCCAAGGGCTTGTACAGCAGTTTGAATCTTTACACACATATGTCTGCTAAAATACAAACTATTGCTTCAGCCTAAAATCTCTCTTTAGTGTTTATGATTTAGATAAAAGCCAAAGGAAGTTAACATTGATACTGTAACTTAATTATTGAGGCATATATGTGAATTTCAGTATCTTTTAAAAAGCAATGATTATTGTTTCTATATTACAGTTTTTTGGAGGCTGGTACTTCTACATTCAGGCCTACAAAGCACTGAAGCATAAAACTGCGAATATGGACGTACTGATTGTGCTGGCCACCACCATTGCATTTGCTTACTCTTTGGTTATTCTTCTGGTCGCAATGTATGAGAGAGCCAGAGTGAACCCTATTACTTTCTTTGACACACCTCCTATGCTATTTGTGTTTATTGCACTAGGCCGGTGGCTGGAGCATATAGCAAAGGTAAAGTGAGAAAAGGTGACATTTGTTAAAATCTTGGGTAGCTAAATGACCATAATATCTTCTAGACAAGTTATTGGAAATATATATTGATTTATATAGTTAATAATTTACTGAAAGAAGTACTTATTTTTGTTTGGCAATATTTTAAGTTAAGTATTTCTTTAGAAGATTTACCAAATTTATGGAATTAATACTGTAGATAGTAGAGTACATCCATGTTTGTTTTAAGAGAGGCATTTAAGAAGCACTTATTTTATTTAATTATATCACATTAATGGAAAAATTGATGTGACCACAGGATTTAAAATAACGATTGAAAAAATTTACCCGTAATATCATGCTATAATGGAAATCACTTTCTAATCCTGTTCCACATATGTTTATATTTTTCAGAGTGGCAAAGTTAGTATTACATACCACTTTGTACCCTTAACACTGTATAGTTTTTCCCCCATTTTTGCAGTTTAGATAATTATTTGGCATTTCTGAATAATATTCTGTCAAACCAGCATGCTGTTATTTACTAAACCATTCTGGTTTTGTTCTCAATTAGATGGTTTCCAATTTTTAATTTTAGGTAACCTTGCATTAAACATATTCATGTCTAATGTTATTTCTATTGAATTGGTATCTTAGGATAAATTACAAAGCATATGGTTAAAAGACATAATTCTTTCTGTGGTTTATGCTATAAGTTGAAACAATTTTTGCCAGTATGGATATGTTAGTGAAGTAGTTTTACTACAACTTCATCAGCATTGACTCCTATCTAAATTCTTGAAATGGTATCATAGAGTTGCTTTAGTTTGCATTTATTCCATTAATAGCAGGGATAAACATTTTTCCACACATCAGGTATTATATTTCTTCTTTAAATTTTTTTACTGATTTTTGAGAGAGAAAGAGAGCAAGAGAGTGCAATATTGATTTGTTGTTCCACCCATTTATGTTCCCACTGTTTGGGTGCTTTTTGCATGTGCCCTGACTGGAGATCGAAACCACAACCTTGGTGTAGCAGGAAAATGCTCTGACCAACTGAGTTACCCATCCAGGGCTTATATTTCTTCTTAAATAATTGCCTATTCATGTCCTTTGCCTGTGTACCTGTTGGGTTCCTGATGTTTTTCTTATTAATTTACATTATTTACTTATAAATTATAGCTAATTATAAAATTTACATTTTGTTTACTTCATATTTTTGAAGTGAAATCTCTTCTGATTTAAACTAATTAATATTCCTAAAGCTGTCTTGTGGGTAAATATTAAAGATTATGTCTTTATTATAGGTAAGACCTGGGCTTTTTCTTGCATAGTATTGTTGACTTTTTTTTTCTTAATTTATAGGGCAAAACGTCAGAGGCTCTTGCCAAGCTAATTTCACTACAAGCTACAGAAGCAACTATTGTAACTCTTGATTCTGATAATATCCTCTTGAGGTATTTATCTTCATTCTTCCCACTTTTCTTTTTAACTCCTTATGAAAATATCAAATATACACAGAAGTAGAGAGTAGAGTATAATGAATGCACATAATTTATCTCCTAGATTTAACAGTTATTCACATTTTGCCACATATTACTTCATCTATACATTCTATACATTCTATCTTTCTTACTCTTATTGCAGTAGTTCTTTTTTCTTTTTATTAAATTTATTGGGGTGACAGTGGTTAATATGGACATATAGGTTTCAGATGTGGGTTTCTATGTTACAAGATCTGTATATTGATCTGTGTGCCCACCACCCAAAGTCATATCTTCTCCCGTCACCATATATTAAGCCTCCCTTCATTCCCACCCCCTAACCCCCTCCCCTCTGGTAACCAGCTTTTTTGTTTGTGTCCACGAGTTTCAGTTTTATACCCCACATATGAGTGAAATCATATTAGCTTTTTCTGACTGACTTATTTCACTTAGCATAATATTCTCAGGGTCCATCCATGTTGTCGCAAATTACAGTATTTCATCTTTTCTTATGACTGAGTAGTATTCCATTGTGTATATGTATCCAGTCCTCTATTGCAGGACACTTTGATTGTTTCCATGTCTTGGCCACCATGAATAATGCTGCATTTAACATAGGGGTGAATATATCTTTGCAAATACATGTTTTCGAGTTTTTGGGGTATATGGTAGCTCTATTCTTAATTTTTTGAGGAATCACCAGACTGCTTTCCATAGTGGTTGTACCATCTACATTCCCACCAGCAGTGAATGAGGGTTCCCTTTTCTCCACAACCTCTCCAACACCTGTTATTGCTTGTCTTGTTGATAATAGATACTCTAACAGGTGTGAGGTGGTGTATCTGCCCATATACACGTGGTTTTATATCTGGGCTCTCTATTCTGTTCCACTGATCTGTGTGTCTGTTTCTGTGCCAGTACCAAGCTGTTTTGATTATCGTAGCTCTGTAGTATAATTTGAAGTCAGGTAGTGTGATACCTCCAGTTTCGTTTGTTTTTCTCAGGATTGCTTTGGCTATTTGGGGTCTTTTGTGGTTCTATACGAATCTGATGATTTCTCATTCTATTTCTTTTTAAAATGACATTGGTATTTTGATGGGGATTGCATTAAATTTGTATATTGCTTTGGTAATATGGCNTTGTATATTGTTTGGGGTAATATGGCCATTTTAACTATGTTGATTCTCCCAATCCATGGACTCGGGGTATTTTTCCATTTTGTTGTGTTTTTTTCAGACTCTTTTAATAATGCTTTGAAGTTTTCAGTATATAAGTCTTTCATGTTCTTTGTTAAGCTTATTCCTAGGTATTTTATTCTTTTGGTTGCAATTGCTAAAGGAATTTTTTTTCCCATTTCTTTTTCTGAAGTTTTGTTGTTAGTATACAGGAAGGCAATGGATTTTTATACAGTGATTTTGTATCCTGCAACTTTACTGTCTTTATTGTTTCTAATAGTTTTTTTGTGGAGTCTTTAGGGTTTTCTAAATACAGGATCATGTCATCCGCAAAAAGTGACAGTTTTACTTCTTCCTTCCCAATTTGCATGCCTTTTATTTCTTTCTCTTGCCTTATTGCTCTGGCTAGGACTTCCAGAACTGTGTTGAATAAGAGTGGTGAGAGTGAGCATCTTTGTCTTGTTCCTGATCTTAGAGGAAAAAGCTTTCAGTTTTTCACCATTGAGTATGATATTAGCTGAGGGTTTATCATATATGGACTTTATTATGTTAAGATACTTCCTTTCTGTTCCTACTTTATTGAGTGTTTTAATCATAAATGAATGTTGTATCTTATCAAATGCTTTTTCTGCATCTATTGAGATCATATGATGTTTATTCTTTCTTTTGTTACTGTGGTGTATTAAATTGGTTTACGTATGTTGAACCATCCTTGTGGCCCTGGAATGAGCCCCACTTCATTGTGATGTATTATTTTTCTGATGTACTGCTGTATTCGATTTGCTAGTATTTTAAGATTTTTGCACCTGTATTCTTCAGAGATATTGGTCTGTAGTTTTCTTTTTTTGTGTGTTTTCCTTTCCAGGTTTTGGTATCAGGGTTATATTGGCCTCATAAAATGTGTTAGGAAGTATTACCTCTTCTTCATTTTTTTGGACGAGTTTGAGAAGGTTAAGTTTTAAATCTTCTTTGAATGTTTGGTACAATTCACTGGGAAAGCCATCTGGTTCTGGGAGGTTTTCGATGGTTGTTTCAATTTCCTCACTGCTGATCACTGTATTTTGATTTTTCAGTTCTTCGTGATTTAGTCTAGGAAGGTTATACATTTCTAGGAACTTATCCATTTCTTCTAGGTTGTTGAATTTGGTGTCGTATAGTCTTTCATAATATTCCAGAAAGATCTTTTGTATATCTGTGATGTGTGTGGTGACTTCTCTCTCATTTCTGATTTTGTTTATATGGGTCTTTTCCCTTTTTTCCTTAGTGAGTCTAGCCAGCGGTTTGTCCATTTTTATTAATCTTTTTTTAAAAAACAGCTCTTTTATTAATTTTTTGTATGGTCTTGTTCTGCATTTCATTCAATTCTGCTCTGAGTTTTATGATTTCCTTTCTTCTGCTGACTTTGGGTTTCTTTTGTTCTTCTTTTTCTAGTTCTTTAAGATGTGATGTTTGGTTGTTTACTTGGGATTTCTCATTTCCTGAGATAGCCCTGTAATGATATAAACTTCCCTGTTATTAGTGCTTTTGCTGCATCCCAGAAATTTTGATATGTTATACTGTTGTTCTCATTTGCGTCGCTATATCTTTTGATCTCATCTTTTATTTATTCTTTGACCCAGTCATTTTTTAGTACTATGTTATTTAATCTCCATGTATTTGTCAGTTTTTTTACTTCCTTTTTGCAGTTGATTTCTGATTTCAAGGCATCGTGTTCAGAGAATATGCTTGGTATAATTTCAGTCTTCTTGAACTTGATGCTATTTCTGTGACCCAACATATGGTCTATCCTTGAAAATGTTCCATGTGCCCTGGAGAAGAATGTATAATCTGATGTTCTGGGATGAAAGGCTCTCTCTAAATATCAATTATGTCCATTTGATCTAGCATTTCATTTAAGGCCAATATTTCTTTATTGATTTTCTGTTTGGTTGATCTGTCTAGAACTGTCAATGCAGTATTAAGGTCCCCAACTGTGATTGTGTTTTGATCTGTTTCTCCCTTTAGTGCTGTGAGTAGTTGCTTTATATATTTTGGTGCTCCCTGGTTGGGTGCATATATATTAAGAAGTGTTATGTGTTCTTGATTTAGTGTCCCCTTTATCATAAAGTGTCCATCTTGTCTCTTGTTATCTTTGTTGACTTGAATTCTGTTTTGTCAGATATAAGTATGGCTACACCTGCTTTTCAGTGGATGTTATTTGCTTGGAGAATCATTTTCCACTCTTTTACTTTGAATCTACCTTTGTCTTTGCAGCTTAGATGTGTCTCTTGTAGGCAGCATACGGTTGGATTTTGTTTTTTGATCCGCTCTGCTACTCGGTGCCTCTTTATTGGTGAATTCAGACCATTTACATTTAGGGTAGTTCTTGATGTATGGGGATTACCTATAGCCATTTTATCTTTTGTTTTCTGGGAGCTCTGTGCCTTCATTGGTTCTTTTCCTTTGTACTTCTTTCTGTTGTTTTTGTTTGGTGGTGTTTCATACTTCTTTCCTCTGTGTCCTCTTTAAGCTATGTGTCCTGATTTGGGGATTTTTGTGTGTGGTTACGATTAGGTTTATAAAACATAAAGTTGCAAATATACAATAATTTTTTTTTTCTTTTGAGTTCATCTGATGTTTATCCTCCTTTGCCAGTTCAGATCTTTACTCCCTCCCCCTTAATTTTTTTGTTGTCACAAATTATCCCTGTTTGTGCTCTAAGTTTTTCGGTGATCTTACTCGTAGTGTTGTGACCTTATGTTCTTTTTCAGCTACCTCTTGAGTATTTCCTGCAATTGAGGTTTTCTGGTAATAAAGTCTTTCAGCTTCTATATGTCTGGGAACATCTTTATTTCTCCTTCATATTTAAAAGATAATTTTGCTGGATATGTTATTTGTGGCTGGTAATTTCTCTTTCAGATGTTTGAATATTTGGTTCCACTCTCTTCTGGCTTGTAGGGTTTCTGCTGAGAAGTCGAATGAAATTCTGATGGGTTTTCCTTTTTAGGTCACTTTTTCTTTTCCCAGGTTGCTTTGAGAATTTTTCTTTGTCATTAATTTTTGACAGTTTTAATACAATGTGCCTTGGAGAGGGCCTCTTTGGATTGAGGTAACTAGGTGTTCTGTTTACTTCTTGGATTTGAGGATCTAGTTCTTTCCATAGTTTTGGGAAGTTCTCATCCACTATTTGTTTGAATAGGCTCTCTGTTCCCTTCTCCCTCTCTTCTTCTTCCAGAATGCCTATAATTCTAATATTGCTTTTTTCTGATGGAGTCAGACAGTTCTTTTAGAGCTCTTTCATTTTTCTTTATGCTCAGGCCTCGCTCTCTTTCCTTCTCCGTCATTTATAGACTCCTATTTTTGATATCACTAATTATTTCTTCCATCTGGTTTACTCTGTTTTCGATGCTCGGTAGCTCATTCCTAATCTCCTTAATTGCATGCTTCATTTCCAGGGTTTCTAATTGGTTCTTTTTTAAAGTTTCAGTCTCTTTGGTAAAGTACTCGTTTTGTTCATTGATTTATTTTCTGAGTGCACTGAATTGCCTGTCTGTATTTTCTCGCATCTCATTGAGTATTTTCAGAACTGCAATCTTGTAATCTCTGTCATTTATATCGCTTATTTCCTTGTGTTCCAGCTTGCCTTTGAGGGATTTTTCATTTTCTTTCTGATTATTCTCGTTACCGTGGCTATTCATGTATTTTCTACTATCCTTTGTCTAGACGTAAATATCTCTTCTACAGCAGCATTCTCTGAAGAAGTCTTCCTACTGTTTTCCTGCAGATGGCGCTGAATCGCAAGATTTTTTACCTTTGTGATCTCCCAGCCTTGAGGCTTCCATTAGACAGTACAGCAGAGCTGCTTGGGGGTGGGATTTGTTTTGCCCTCACTTTAATGGCACCCTGACCTACTCTGTAGAGTCCCTCCCCAAGCACCAAACCCAAGGATCAGTCACACAGGGAATCAGTGGTTCCTCTGCAATAACTCTTTGTTTACAGATAAAATGTTCCTCGACCTGACACAGGGCAATGGGAGGTGAGTTTTGGGAGTCCAAGGGGTGGCAGGGCTTTGTGGTTCTGTTTCTTTTTTTTAAAAAAAATATATCTTTATTGATTTTAGAGAGAGGAAAGGAGGGGGAGAGAGAGAGATAGAAACATCAATGATGAGAGAGTCATTGATCGAGCCCGCAACACGGGCATGTGCCCTGACCAGGAATCAAACCCCAATCACCTGGATCCTAGGTCGATGCTCAACCGCTGAGCCATGCCCGGCCGGGCAGTGGTTGTGTTTCTTTGTCAGAATCACCGCCGCCTGACAGTGGATATCCGCACGGCAGAACCCCATGCTCTGCCAGGCATCTGCTGGCTCAGTCACTGTTCTGTCTGCTTGCCCTGTTGGACTGGCCTCCATAGCTCTCTGTTCCTCCCAGCTGAAGGAAGCACCTCCTGCCACTGGCTTTCTCACCTCTCCCAGCCAGGCCGCAACCTCTTGACTGCTATGCTGTGTCTGAGGACCATCCCAGCTTTTCTCCCTTCTTGTCTCCCTGCTTATTCCCGGTTGCCCACCTTTAGATGTTTCGGTGTGCAGATCTCTCAGGCGTGCCTCTATATTGAGTAGGGAATTCTTTGTTGAATTATTGTTGATTAACTTGTTGAAATTTCAAGGGGAGAGGCCAACGGGATCTCTCATGCTGCCATTCCTCTGATGTCACTCTCCTGCAGTATGTTTTAAAGTAAATTCCAATCATATCATTTTACTGCTAAATATTTCTGTAGTATCTCTAAAAAAGGACATACCTTATGTAACTGTAAGACCATATTGCATCTAAGAAAATGAACAAAAACTCCTTAATATCATCTACTATGCAGTCTATATACACAGTTCTCCTGTTCCATAATGTTTTAAGTTTCATTGTTTGAAATGGAATTCAAACAAGGTCCATGGGTCGTTATATTTGACTGCATGATTCTTTTAATCTAGAACCACTCATCCTTCTCTTTTAACCTCCTTCTTCCTCCCTTCTTCTCCCTCTTCATACAGTTGACTTGTTAAAGAAACATCCATCAGTTGTCCTGTATAATATCCCACAGTCTGGATTTATCTCTTTGTTTCCATGTGGTGTCATTTAACTTGTTTTATAACTCCTGTGTGTTACCTGTAAACTGGAAGTCAGAACTAAAGGCTTGATTAGATTTCATTCTTTTGTATTTCTTATTTATATACTCATAAAATTATTTAGACAAATTTATACAATAAATAAGTTGTTTAGTTAAATAGAATCCATTACATTATTTTACAAAGTTTTCATTTACTCACTCAATGACTTTAACAAATATTTAGAGTGCCTACTTTGTACCAGGTACTGAGCTGTTCCTCACCAGTTAACAGGACTGACATTGTCGTTCCTAGCTTAAGTGTTGGTCCTAGCTTCCATTTGTAACAATTACAGAGTCACAGCTTAATATGAACTGAAAAGCTTGTATGGAAAAATCAGTGTGAGAAGCATATTGTCATAATGCATTTTATTTTAACTCATATCCAGTGAAGAACAAGTGGATGTGGAACTTGTGCAGCGTGGAGACATCATTAAAGTAGTTCCAGGAGGCAAATTTCCGGTGGATGGTCGTGTTATTGAAGGACATTCTATGGTAGATGAGTCCCTCATCACAGGTATGTTCTTCCAGAGAGTCATGAAAGTGAAGTGAATCTAAAATGTTAATGAAAAATAGGCATGAAAGGTGAAAAGCTTTTTATAGAAATTGGAATGAGTATATAATAAGCAAAGAGAAAGTGAGTTATTTTTAAGACTGTATTAAATCGCTCTGCTTGCTGTGGCTCAGTAGGTTGGAGAGTTGTCCTGTGCACTGAAAGGTTGCCAGTTCGATTCCATGTCAGGGCACATTCCCCAGTTGTGGGCTAGATCCCCAGTTGGATCGATGTTTCTCTCTTTCCTCTCCCTTCCTCTCCATCTGAAAAAATCAATAAACATTTTTTTAAAAAACTGTTAAATCAATTTCTGCAGATTTTATTTTGTGATTTTAGTTATGCTAAATGAAGGCTCTTTTCACTGAAAATTGTTAATTACTAGATCATAAAACCAAAGGAAATTGTCTCATTCTCCTGTAGAGCCCAGTAGACTTTGGCACATTTATGTTACCAAATTCCTATTTTGTCTACCTGTTCTATAGACTGTTCTACTCTGAGCAGGGATAGGACTCCAGGTTTTCCACATCAGCATCTGCTCTTAGAGAGCAGGACTCTAGTAGTTTTAGAGGTCTTAGATAACTAAGGCCAATCTGGAGCAGAACCAAAATAACACCTTTCTTACTTCAACCCTCAGGATAGTGCCAGAAGAAGCTCAGCTTATGGACCAGGTGGAAATAATTTAGGATTCTGTGTTTCTCAGTATGTGTGCTATTGCCAGTTTGGATGGGACAATTCTTAGTTCTGGGGGACTCTCTTGCCCATTGTAGTACATTTAGTATCCTTGACCCTGGTCCACTACATTGGAGTAGCAGCACCCCATGCCCTACCAGCAGTTATTACATACAAAAACTCCCTCCCATATTTCTAAATGCCCCTTGGGAATAGGCTGAGAACCAATGATCTAACTAGGGTAGAATTCCAAAAGGATCTTCCAACAAGAGCTGGCATATTAGGTTTTTCCAGGTTAAGACAGTATGCCTAGGTTTGACCCAGAAGGAAATAGAGAGGCCACCTTTCACTTGGGCATTTGTCCAGATTCTATTTCATGAAGTAAGAATCTCCTTTCTAGATATTTTCCCCCACTACAAGGCTTTTATTGCTAATTGAAAGTGGGAGTCACCTACAAACAGGTTGGACATTCTTGTTGTTCTTTTTTTAAATTTATCTTTATTGTTGAGAGTATTACAGATATCCCCCCCTTTTCTTAAAATATATTTTTATTCATTTTAGAGAGAGAGGAAGGGAGAGGGAGAGATAGAAATACCAATGATGAGAGAAAGTCATTGATTGGCTGCCTCCTGCATGACCCCCACTGGGAATCGAGCTCACAACCCAGGTATATGCCCTGACCGGGAATCAAACCACAATCTGCTGGATCATACATCAATGCTCAACTGCTGAGCCATGCAGGCTGGGCCAGATATCCCCTTTTGTTCCCCATTGATCCCCTCCACCCTGCACCCTCCCCTCCCCCGATCCAGCCCTTCACCACACTATTGTCTTTGTCCACGGGTTATGCATATATGCATATAAATTCTTAGGTTAATCTATCCCCACCCACTTCCCCTCCCCCACCTTTCCTCTGAGATTCATCAGTCTGTTCCATGCTTCTGTGTCTCTGGATCTATTTTGTTCATCAGTTTCTTTTGTTCGTTCAATTCCACATATGAGTGAGATCGTGTGATACTTGTCTTTCTCTCATTGCCTTGTTTGGCTTAGCATAATGCACCCCAGTTCCCTCCATGCTGTCTCAAAGGATAAGAGATCCTTTTGTACAGCTGCAAAGTATTCCTTAGTGTAAATGTCCCATAGCTTTTTTATCCACTCATCTCCTGATGGGTACTTGGACTGTTATGAAGTCCCTATGATCTAGTGTGTCATTTAGAGTTACTGTTTCCTTGTTGATTTTTTTGTCTGGAAGATCTCTCCAGTGATCTTAGTAGGGTGTTAAAGGCCCCTACTATGACTATATTGCTGTCAATCTCTCCCTTAAAGTCCTCCAGAAGTTTTTTTTATATATTTAGGTGCTTTTATATTGGGTGCATATATGTTTACCAGGATTATATCTTCTTGTTGGATTGATATCTTTAGTATTATGTAGTCACCTTTATTGTCTCCTGTTATGGCCTTCATTTCGAAGTCTATTCTGTCAGATATGAGTATTGCTACCCCAGCTTCTTTTCACTTCCATTTGCATGGAAAAAAATTTTCCATCCCTTAACTCTCATTCTATGTGAGTCTTTTGTTCTGAGGTGGGTCTCTTGTAGAAAGTATATATTTGGGCCATGTTTTCTTATCCATTCAGCTACCCTCTGTCTTTTAAATGGAGCATTTAATCCAGTTACATTTAAGGTTATTATTGATAGGTGCTTATTTGTTGCCATTTTAATTATTATTTTAAAAATATGTCTGTTGACTTCAGAGAGAGGAAGGGAGAGGGAGACAGAGATAGAAACATCAATGATGAGTGAGTCATTGATCAGCTGCCTCCTGCATGCCCCCTACTGGCGATCGAGCCCGCAACCTAGGCATGTGCCCTGACTTGGAATCCAGCCCCAATCTCCTGGATCATACGTTGATGCTGAACCACTGAACCACACCAGCTGGGCGCCATTTTAATTTTTCATGCCTATGTTTTTCTCTATATATATTTCTTATTACAGCAGACCCTTTAATGTTTCTTGCAGTGCTGCTTTGGTGGTGATAAACTCCTTTAACCTTTTTTTGTCTGGGTAGCTCTTTATTTCACCATCTATTTGAATGATAGCCTTGCTGGATAGAGTAGTCTTGGTTTCAGATCCTTGCTTTTCATTGACTTTAATATTTTATGCCATTCCCTTCTGGCCTGTAGAGTTTCTGATGAGAAGTCAGCTGACAGCCTTATGGGAGCTCTTTTGTAGGTAACGAATTGCTTTTCTCTTGCTGCCTTTAAGATTCTCCCTTTGTCTTGAATTTTTGGCATTTCAATTATGATGTGTCTAGGCATAGGCCTATTTGGGTTCTTCTTACTTGGTACTCTCTGTGCCTCCTGAACTTGTGTGACTTTTTCCTTGACTAGGCTAGGGAAGTTTTCTGTCATTATTTCGTCAAACAGGTTCTCTGTCCCTTGCTCACTTTCTTCTCTTTCTGGCATTGCTATGATACAAGTATTGTTGTATTTCATGTTGTCCCACAACTCCCGTAAACTGTCCTGTTTTTTAATTGTTTTTTCTTTTTGGTGCTCTGATTGAATGATTTTTTTCTACCCTGTGTTCTAGTTCACTGTTCTGATCCTCATCCTCCTCTAATCTGCTGTTTATTCCTTCCAGTGTATTCTTTATTTCTCCCATGTCATTCTTAATTTCCTTCATAGTTTCCATTTCTTTTCTCATGCTGTTGAGCATCCTTACAATCATTATTCTGAACTCTGTATCTGATAGAGTACTTTTCTCCATTTCATTTATCTCTTCTTCTAGAGAATTCTCTTGTTCTTTCATTTGGGGCTTGTTTTTTGTCTCCCCATTTTGGCTACCTGTTTGGATTTGTTTCTATGTATTAGGTAGATCTACTATGACTCTCAGTCTTTTGGATGGTCTCCGGTGCTGGTCAATGTCAGACACTGGTTTTGACTGGCCTTGAGTTCCTGTTTGGAGCTATCAGTGATCCACAGCTTATAGCTTCCTCTTCTGGGGCTGGGTACATTTGGAAAGGGCCAAGATGCACACGAAGGTCTGCTTTTCCAAGCTCCAGGTCCAGAAGTAGATCAGGCAAAGACTCAAAGCACCCAGTGATCCACCTTTGTCTTTAGACTAACTGTGATTCTCAGTCTCTTAATGAGCCTCAGGCTGTAGACTACAGCATAGCATAAATCCCACAGGATGGGGCAAGAGGTTTTCAAAGGGTGGGGCAATTGCTTCCCACCTCCAGGCAAAAGCTCCCTGGATGGTAAAGGTCTGCCTCAAAAATATGTCCTCTCCAGTATTGGGGAATGACTCAGCACAGGAATCCAGACAGGTGCCCTCTGAGCTCTGTCCCCAGAGCCAGCAATCCTGGATTCTCACACAGCTCTAGGTCACTCTACCCTCCCTCTGCCAAAGCACAAGTTGAGTGGCTGTACATGAAATGTTTTGTTCACCCTTTAAGCAGGTGCCTGCATTTCCAGCCATCTCTCCCTGGCATACAGAAACACTGCTACTTTTCACAGCCAGATGTTATGTTGGTTGCTTTCTCAGATCTGGTGCTCTGGTTTGGAGAGCCCAGCTTGGGGTTTAGACCCCAGAGTTCTCAGTGGCAACCACCCACAGCTGACATATCCCTCCAGAACTTCAGCTGCTGCTTGTGGGAGCCCATCCAGTTGATTATTCAGGGTGGTTTTTCTATATTTTAGTTGTAATTCCAGTTTGGTCCTGGGAGAGTGTCTGTGTAGCTTCCACTTAATCTGCCGCCATCTTGGAATCTCTAGATACTTTTTTGACAATTAACAAGTAATGGTATGTTTCAAGATAGTGCTTATTTATGGTCTCTAAATATATCTTTACTCCTTATACAGGGGAGGCAATGCCTGTGGCTAAGAAATATGGCAGCACAGTGATTGCTGGGTCCATTAACCAGAATGGGTCACTACTCATCCGTGCAACCCATGTTGGAGCAGACACAACCCTTTCTCAAATTGTCAAACTTGTGGAAGAGGCACAAACATCAAAGGTAACTTAACTCCCTAGAAGAAACAAAGTATTTTCTTTAAAGCCTACTTATTATAAATCTTTATTTAGTTTTCATATTTTCCTTCTATTAATTCTAACTGCATTAATATAGTTTATTAAAATAGCTCTGTTTGTGCTCTATTCATTATAAAAAGGAGACTTTGATTTATGTATTATTATTATTTAATTCTAGGCTCCTATCCAGCAATTTGCAGACAAACTCAGTGGCTACTTTGTTCCTTTTATTGTTATTATTTCCATTGTTACCCTCTTGGTTTGGATTATAATTGGATTTCTGAATTTCCAAGTTGTGAAAACCTACTTTCCTGTAAGTATGACATATAGCAATTCTTTACCATATGTAAAGCAGTTTGTGAATTTTTTGCATAAGTAATTAATTGGAAAATAACCTTAATAATTACTAGTATCTTTAAGGGACTAGAGTGGGAGGGTGATATGAATAACATTTGCATTTCTATAAATATAAAAGATTTCCTTTTAGAAAGATTTTTTTCACTGTGACATGTGATTTTCCCAAAGCAGGTATTGAACTTTTACATTATATACCTAGTCTTATTTCCAGCATGATTGTGCTTTTACAAAGGACTATAGATATATTGAGGAAAACTTCGGGATTTCAGCTCTGGTCAGCTTAATTTCCCTATGAGCTTCATTTTCCTCATCTATAATGTGAGATTTTAATAATCTCATCCTGCATAACTTGTTGTGAAAGTTAAATAAGATAATATATTAGAAACACTTAGTAATTTATTAAATGCTTTATAAATATAAGATAATATTAGGCCCTGGCCAGTGTGGCTCAGTTGGTTGGGTGTCATCCTATACACTGAAAGATCACAGGTTCAATTCTCAGTTAGGGCACATACCCAGGTTGCATGTTAGATCCCTGTTCAGGGTGCATATGGGAGGCAACTGATCAATGTTTCTCTCTCTCCCTTCCTCTCTCTAAAATCAACTTTTAAAAATATTTTTAAAAAGATAATATTAATGCCTGCTTTTCTCTAGTTCTATGATAGTCTCTAAACTATGGTGTCAAAGTGGTAAAGTAGACCTGGACTGTGCCTCATTTTAGAGATATAATCTTTAAGTCACTTAACTTCACTTAGCTTCAGTTTTGTCATCTGTAATATAGTGATAATAATACCTAAATTGCAGGATTGAAATTAGTGTAGGTGAAAACATGCACATATGACATATATGAAAACATAAGCTTAGATGTTTATGAAAGTCCCTTCCAACTCTGTTACTGTATAGATATACAATTCTTAGATGAATACTTAAAGTATTTGGGAACTTAGTAAGAAACTAGCACTATAAAACAATTACTACTAAAAAAGTCTGTTGTATTTCTTTATTTTAAAAAATACTGTTCTATACAGTGTTTTATGCTATTTGCCCCTTCAATTAAAGAACAAGTAGAATCATAACAACTGTGTATCTATTCCATAGTATGGTCATTAGTATAATATAAAAAAATTCTTTAAATGATTCATATTGGTTAAGTAAATATTGAACAAGAGAATTCCTAGGAGGTATTTTGGAATGTGTATCATGAGTTCAGGGGATCTTAGGAGATTTTCCCTAGTATAGTCAATCATATTTACCCACACAAGCAAATCAAATATTGATTGTCATTAAGAGTTATACTGCCCTGAGCAGTGGTTAGAGCATCAGCCCATACACCAAAAGGTGGTGGGTTTGATTCCTGGTCAAGGGCATGTATCTGGGTTGCAGGTTCAATTTCTGACCCCTGGTGGGGGCACGTGCAGGAGGCAACCAATCGATGTCTCTCTCTCACATCACTGTTTCTCTCTCTGTCTCTCCCCCTCTTCTACTCTCTCTCTAAAAAAGAAAAAAAAAAATCAATGGAAAAAATATCCTCAGGTGCAGATTAACAAAATAAACAAATAAATTAAATAAGTTAATTAATAGCCCTGGCTGGTGTGGCTCGGTTGGTTGAGTGTCATCCTGTGCACCAAAAGGTCCCCAAGTTCGATTCCTGGTCAGGACACTCGCCGGGGTTGCAGGCTCAGTCCCCAGTAGGGGGTGTGCAGGAGGCAGCCAACTGATGTTTCTCTCTCTCTCCCTCTCCTTTCTTCTCTCTCTAAAATCAATAAAAACATACTTTTTTAAAAAAGAAATAAACTATTTTTTTAAAAAAGAGCTATACTACCAGGTATACTCAGTTGACATTGTTCCAACCAAAAGAATTTTATTGAAATGTGATTAAGCTCCCTTTGCATGCTGGGTGATTTTTTTTCAGTCTTCAGAGAAGAGTGTGAAAGGTAGGTCTCAGTATATAGAGATTCAGAATTCCTTTTGTTTAGGATCAAATTTGTTGAGAATTAGGTCCCATGTTTGCAGCTATTTTTGAAAGTCCCTAATAAAAATACTCTCAATATGGGGCAAAAAAAAAAAAAGCTGACTTTTATGTTTCTTATATTCACTCCATAGTTTATAACTGAATTACTAAAATTGAAATCTTGATTTGGGAACTGTGACTTGTTTACCAGCTATGTCACAATTTCTTTTATTCATAAAATTTTTTAAAAAGTATTTTCTTACTAGTAACTAAAACATATAAGTTGGTAGCTAAGTAGGGTTATGTGTGACTTCAAAATTGAGGTTTTATTTAAATTGGGTTAAACTTTATGTCTTTGTTTTGTATAGCTCTAAATCAATAACCAAAATTCATGCCTTTCTTCTAAAGGGCTACAGCAGAAGTATCTCCCAAACAGAAACGATAATACGCTTTGCTTTCCAAGCCTCTATCACAGTTCTGTGCATTGCATGTCCCTGTTCACTGGGTCTGGCGACTCCAACTGCTGTGATGGTGGGTACAGGAGTAGGCGCTCAAAATGGCATACTAATCAAAGGTGGCGAGCCATTGGAGATGGCTCATAAGGTAAGATAGTTCCCAGAACTAAGAATTGTCCCATCCAGACCTGGAGAATATTATGCTAAGTGAAATAAGTCAGGCAGTGAAAGACAAATGTCACATGATCTCGCTTATATGTGGAATCTAAAGAACTTAATAAACTGATAAACAGAATAGATTCAATGACATGGAAGCATAGATGAGACTGACGAATGTCAGAGGGAGGGAGGAGGGCAGTGGGTGGAGGGGGAGAGAGTAACCAAAGAATTTATATGCATATATGCACAACCCAAGGGCACAGACAATGGTGGGGAGAGGGACTGGGGAGGGGGAAGGGGTCATTGGGGAGAAAAAGGGACATCTGTACTATTTTAAACAAACAAACAAAAAAATAGAAGTAAAGGCCAGAGACAAAAAAAAAGAAGAAAAAAAATTGTCCCAGCCAAACTGGCAATAGCACACCTACTGAGAAACACAGAGTCCTAAATTATTTCCACCTGGTCCATAAGCCGAGCTGCTTCTGGCACTATCCTGAGGGTCAAGGTAGGAAAGGTGTTATTTTGGTTCTGCTCCAGATTGGCCTTAGTTATCTAAGACCTTTGAAACTACTAGAGTCCTGCTCTCTAAGAGCAGATGCTGAAAATCTGGAGTCCTATCCCTGCTCAGGCTAGAAAAGTCTTTAGGGCAGGAAGAGAGAGGAGGTGTTTGCCCAGGTCTTTCAGGCTTCTAACCTATTTGTGTGTCTCCATGTTTGTGTTCACCATGAGATAGCACTTGTGGTTACATTGCAGTTTCTTTGCCTTTCTGCCACCACATGACAGTTTGCAACTGTGACTTGAGGAATATAATCCTGTCCCTGGTCTCTCTCATATTACAATTTTCATAACAATCTCAATCAAGGCTACTTCAACTAAAACCATGTTCCTTCTAGTGTGTTCTTAGTATGAGGATATGAACTATACAGAGATGCATGCATGTACTAAACACAGAACACAGTTTAGAACAGATTGGGAACCTCATCTAGTGAATACAGACTTTTAGTTTTTATAGTATTTTTTTAAATTTTGATATAATTTTAAAGAAAAATTGCAAGCATGATACAAAGAACTTCTATATACCCTTTACTGCAGATACCAGCCTTTCCTAAGAAGAAGGATATTTTCTTACATAATCACAGTACAAAGTTCAAATTCAAGAAACTAATATTAATATAGTACTATTATCTAATCTATAGTCCATGTTCCAGTTTCCTCATACCATAATATCCTTTATAGCTATTTTTTCTCTTGTTGGGAATTATGCTTTCTATTTAGTTGTTATATCTTTTCATCTCGGTTCCTCAAGCTATTCACTTTTCAAGGTTTGTTTTCTGAGTTTACTGTGAGGTGACTGTGTTTTCTTATTCCAGACTCTTCCTTTTTCCTGTCTGGGCTACAGTTTCTTCATTGTTTCTCTGAGCTGTCTCTTCTCAGGCCCAGCTTCTCATCTAGATCCAATAAAGTCAAAGCAGCCCAGCAGGTCTTATCTGGTGCTCACTTCAACTTATTTACCTTTCTCTTATAGTTATCTTCCTATTGCCCAGATTTCCCGCTATAGATCTGTGATTCATTACTATTTAAAGCCTTTGTCTTTCCCTGGAGGCACTAGAGGCATCTTTTAATTAACTATTAACAGTCAAACTTTAACAATTAGTTCTAGGTATTTAACATGAATCCACAGTAGGTTAAACATTTGCAGTGGGGGGGAGTAGGTGTGACTAAGAGTATTTCTCCCCTTATTCTCCCAAAGACAGTTTATTAAGTCCAAGCTTATTAAGAAGTAAACCTTTTTCTCATTTCTGGAAAGGTGATATTAAGAATTATCAAGTCATATAGGTGTACTGTATTTTAATTTTCTTACAGGTAAAGGTAGTGGTATTTGATAAGACTGGAACCATTACCCATGGAACCCCAGTAGTGAGTCAAGTAAAGATTCTAGTGGAAAGTAACAGAATGTCACGCAATAAGATCCTGGCCATTGTGGGAACTGCTGAAAGTAACAGTGAACACCCTCTAGGAGCAGCTGTAACCAAATACTGCAAGCAGGTACAGTTTTCCCCCTTGTTTATTAATGTTGTCATCTACTATTGGAATTACTCAGACCAAATCCAAACTGGCATTTGACTATGATTTATGTATATAGTTGATATGAGGCTTAGAGAGATTGCATTTCCTTATTTTGTTTTATAATATGTCTTAGATTCTTCATATAGAAAAATATAAAGATGAAAATAGGAATTAATTATAATCCTACACAGATAACTCCTGTTGACTAAAAAATATAGAAGTCATACATATTTATGGTAGGAAACTTCAGATAGTTCAGAGAGTTGCATAAGGAAAAGGGAAAGCCTCATCCCCTACCCACTTCTATAATTTGTCTCTCCAAACTTTAAGAAGTGTTAACCTGTTAATAATCTTTTTAAATAACAGTTTTTTGAGATACAATTCACATACTATAAAGTTTACGCTTGTAAAATGTACAATATAATAATTTTTAGTATATTCTCTAGTGTGCATCTATTAACCATGTTTAATGCATATAACAAAATATATGTATTATTTTTTAAACTTTACATAGAAAGGTCACACAATGACCTATATTTGGTACCTTGTTTTTAAATTTTATTAAATGATTTTTCCATATCAGGACATATAGATCTGCCTCATTATTTTTAATACTTCTATTCTATTCTGTTGTACAATTGGTTTTTGGCTCTTACAGTGTACAGTTAACATCCTTATCAGCTTTTGCAAGTTTATCTCTATGTTAAATGCCTATTAATGCAATTGCTAGAGCAAAGGATATATACAGTTAAATTCTGATCAATGTTACCAATGCCCATGTGACAAATATTACCAACAGGTACAGGGAAGGTTGTAACAATGTATACTTTCACCAGAAGTTATGACTGACAATTTCCCCACATTCTTACCAATACTATTTTTTCCAATATAATAAGTAAAAAATGTTAACTTGTTGATGGTTTGCTTTTCGTTTCCTTAATTATGAATAAGGTTGAGCATATTTTCATATGTCTGTTAACCATTTGAACTTCTTTTTCTGTAAACTGCTTGAATCCTTTGCCTATTTTTCCATAGATAGGATTATTTACCTTTTTCTCATTGCTTTGTAAGTTATCTCACATACTTTTATAGTTAAAATGTGACAGTTTCTACTATTGATGTTGCCATTTCTTTCGTTATCTTTTTCCTTTTTACCTATTAACTATTACTGACCTGGCTTATTGACATCCACATGGAACAAAGGAGAGGATGAAGATAGAAAGAGCCAGAATTCCTTGGCTTACTAGAGACACAGAATTAGAGGCACTCTAGTAACTAAAGGCCCTGCTCTGTGTTTCCCTTTGCCCTGTACTGAACAGAAAAGCTGACCTGGCAGAATTAAATATTTAACTTGTAACTCTCTACTGGAAAGGGCAGAGAATATAGGCAGAGAACAATGATAAACTGGCCATGTTTTCTTTCCCTAAGCTTGGTATACATTTTAGAGAGTAGAATTAAAACGAAGGATTCTGAGGTTCTCCTGTAATTCTGAACATTATGCTCAACAGTCTGTTCCTTCATCCTTATTAAAATCCACTTTTATTTAAAAGTAGGTGATAAAAGCTCCACAAGTCCTCCTCTGTGAGTATGTGTAGTAAAGGATTGAACTTGCCCAAAGGTTTGACCTTGGGCTCCAGCTCCTATGTGCTAACCTCTAAGTCCTTAGAGTGTGTGCTGCCTGATAAGAATGTCTCGGTTTACCTGGCAGCCTTGGGCTATGCCAGATAGTGTATGCTAATGATGTGATTTATGTGGGAGGCCTAGGGCCATGCTGTATCAGCTTAGCCTCTGGAAGGGCTAGAGACTAAGGTCAGCAATAGAGAGAGTCAATCATGTCTACATGACTGATCCCCAATAAAAACTCTGGACAGTAAAGTTCAAGGTGAGCATCCCTGGTTGGCAGCATTCCATACACATCATCATACATACTTGCTGGGTGAATTAAGCGCTATTCACATGACAAGACCTGTGGCCTTATTCCTAGTTCCCTGGAAGGGGACCACTGGAAGCACCATGCTGGATAACTCTTGAACCTGCCCTATGAACCTCTTCCCTTTGCTGATTTTAGTCTGTGTCCTTTCACTGCAATAAAACATAATAGTTAATACAAAGACCAAAAATATCCACTGTCAAATAGGCAATGGTAAGTGATAATTTTGTTCTAAATATTTATAAATAACTGGAAGTAATCTTTGATCTTGCTAATGATGACCTTGGATTATTAGAACAATAGAGGAAATCCTTCTGTTTCTATTTATTAGGAGCTGGACACTGAAACCTTGGGTACTTGCATAGATTTCCAGGTTGTGCCAGGCTGTGGTATTAGCTGTAAAGTCACCAATATTGAAGGCTTATTACATAAGAATAACTGGAAGATAGAGGAAGATAATATTAAAAATGCGTCCCTGGTTCAGATTGATGCCAGTAATGAACAGTCATCAACTTCCATGATTATTGATGCCCGGCTCTCAAGTAAGCTAATTTTCTTTGTAGTACCAATTATGGGACAGTTACTAACATATGTCTAACTTTAAAATCCTGAACTGTTATATAAGAAGTAAAAATTGACACTATGGTTTCATTCTTACCAATCAATTTACCATAGGCCTCTGATCGCTTCACTCAAGTTACTTAAGAACATTTTCCAACTGTGCTCCTTGATTCCTCTATAGGGTGATGAGGCCTAGACTTAGCTGATCTTCCATTTCATTTTAGCTTGCTTTTATTTCTCATCATAGCTACTCCAAAGTTTTTATATCGTTCACACGATCCTGTGGCCTTACCCCTAGTTCCTTGAGCAAATTATGTGGCTTATTTTTCACGTAGAAAAATTAAGGTTCCCAGACACATGCTCCTTCCTTTTTTCCCCCCAGATTTATTCCTTTTTCAGGGGAGGAATTATGCTTCATCTTGTCTAATGAATCCTCTCATCTTTGCTGGATTCCTCTCTTTCTCTCCCCCCCACCATATATATGATTTGGTTTAATTTAATTTAATTTTTTCCATCACTATCCCCTCTATGATGCTCTCTTCCACCTCCCTCCACCTCTCTCCCCTTCCCCCATCTCTTGATTCCTCAGGGACCTCCCTCTTTTTTTTTTTTCCTCACATGAGGATATTTTTTCCATTGCTTTTCAGAGAGTGGAAGGGAATGGGGGTGTGTGTGGGGGGAAACATTGATGTGAAAGAGAGACATCAACAGGTTCCCTCTTACATGTTCCCCAACTGGGAGCAGGGAGCAAACCTGCAACCCACGTACATGCTCTTGACTTGGAATCGAACCTGCAACCCTTCAGTGAGCGGGCCAGTGCTCTAACCACTGGGAACACCGGCTAGGGCATTCTCTCTGTCTTTCATGTCCCCTTGCTTCTTTACTTTTTAACTCTTTTTCTGTAGTATCTCCTCCTAAACATATAAACACTTCTTCCATCAAAATAATTGTATTTCCATCAACATTTTGTCCTATCTATTTTTCCCTTTATATCCAAATTTTTAGAAATAGTAGCCTAGGCTTGCTGAATTCACGTGTTCATGGCATCGTCTGGCTTCTGCCCCATCCATACTACTGAAACTATTCTGACACTTCTCAGTCTTCTGCCTGCATGACTTCACTAAAGCACTTGACAATGTTGACCATTTCTTCCTTCCTAAAACTCTTTCCTCCCTTTATTCCATGACCTTGCTTTCTCCAGATTCTCCTCTCACTTAACTTTAAGGCTGTTTTTTCTAATCCTCATCTGATTTCTCTTTTCTCCTGCTCTCAGGGTTTTGTTCTTTGTCTTTTTCTCATTTTACATACTCTCTCTGTACAATCTAATTCATGCCTATTGCTTATTCTACCACATGCCGGCTTCCACTGCCACTCTAAAATCCATATGTCTGGCCAAGGCCTGTTTCTTGAGTTTCTTGTTGGTCTATCCATCTGCCCCAAAATTTCATATACCCACCTAAGTGTTCCACCACCTCCCCACCCATTTGTGCTCAAGTGATTTTGCTAACATGCAAAACTGATTATATTACTTTCTAATACCTTTTATTATGGTGGCTTATAACCTATTTTTTAAATTTTATTTTTGTTTAAAATATTACAGATGACCCTTTTTCTCCCCAATGACCCGTTCTCCCCAATGACCCCTTCCCGCTCCCCAGTCCCTCTCCCCACCATTGTCCATGTCCTTGGGTTGTGCATATATGCATATAAATTCTTTGGTTACTCTCTCCCCCTCCACC